GTTTTCTCTTGCTATGGGAAATGTTGAATGGAAGATTTTTTTCTGTTGTAATCATATTTCATTGGGAAAAATCACTTTTTCACGAAAAATACTTTGAATTTCACATTAAATTATAAAGTTAATTTAATTTTTAATTTTCAATTTTGTAAGAGCTGTGGTCGTTACTTTTGCTTTTAAATGGCTAAATACTCAAACTATGCAAATGAATTTCGGAAAAAATGAACTTCCGTTAAAAATCGTAGTAATTTAAAGGAGTGCTATAATTATATATATACGGCAATTATATAGTTTGCTTTGATATCGTTAAGTAGGAGTGATTTCGGTCCAAAGTTTGAGTTTAAAAAATATGCTTTTTATACGAGAATACAAACAATTTCTTTAATTTATTCATAGATTATAGGACTATACCACAAAATATGTAATGACATCGGTTTCCTTTTTGTTTTCTTAAGAGTAATAATTAATCTAACCGATTAAAAAATCACCACGGGAGATCATCAGAGTGAACAAAATGCACAATAAAATGAATATAAATTTCTGTGTGCACAGAAAAGATGAACATAATACCAAGATAAGGTTGATACTAAATATTTCTCATTAATTATTCACTCATTTATTACTAATTATTTTAATTGACAGTCAGAAATCGAAAAGAACTGTTAGAAAAACTAGGATAAACGTTAGCCTTTCAAATCAAAAATATGTTATCTAATATTAATAATAAATTACTTACTAAAAACAGGACGCATCGTAATTTCTCGTGAATATCATTGTTCACAAATTAGTTATAAATTACCTTAAATAACGCAATAATTACATCAAATATCGATTAATATTACTATGGGCAGATTCTGAAGATATGAGTTTTTGAACTGAGAAATTTCGTTGTCAGTTTTATAGAAAGCTGAGATGTCTGGAGATTTAAGTAGAATTAAAATTAATTATTTCGACAAAATGTACTGCAGCCTATGATTTAGTGCTAATAATTAAAAATAACCCCACTTTACGGTTTTTCTCTGAATCATTCTATCTCGCATCAACTAAATTATACAATATAAAATGGCATTTTGTTCTGCCAAAGGGAAAGGACCAAAACCGAGAGAAAGAAGGAATGTCGAAAACTGGAGTAAACATACGTGGGAGACCAAAATCATTTAAGTGCTTACGGCCTATAAAAGTCTTAATCCAGCCCTGTGAACGCGTGAAACTCACTATGATATGAATTGCATGAGAATGAGAACGGGAGAATTAAAAAGTAGAGAATAAATTCAACACTTCAAATTGCAGACAGGGTGTCCCATCAAGACTGCTCAAACTCTGCACAGCCAGATTCCTGGCTTGAAATATACAAAATGTGCCCAAAGAACTGCTTCTGTATGACCCATAGAGGTAAAGCCGAAAGAAAATTATGACATCATATCCGGTGCAAGGGGAAAAAAAAAATTCGGTCAGAAACATAAACATCGGTATTTACATATGTTTACATAGGAAGGTGTTCAAAATGTCCACGACACGTATCGAGGCATGTATGCGGGTGCTGCGAAATAACGTCAAGCCATTGTTTGAATCATATTTAAAACGCAGCATCTAGGAGCTATGGTATTCATTTGAGAGTTTCATTTCATTTTTTTATGTTTTCCGCTTGATTCATAGAGTACATTTTTGCTCATTTGGCTGTTTATTTTGTATTTTGTATTTTCTATTTGACTTCATCATATGAATTCTCCCATGTTTTGGACTCCCGGGAGGCGTGCATTTTTTTATGATTTTGCTCACGAGATGTTGGTCTTCTCTTTTTCCACCTACTCCTACTCCCCCTTGAGGCACCAAGGCCAGTCAGCATACATATACGACTAGTAGACTATGGCTACCGGTAACCTTCGCATGGTGATAGTGTATTCCGCTCGTGAATATTGTGACATGTACTAATTTCCGGTCAATGTAATTGCAATACCTCACGACTGTTAGGGAGTATGTCCGTCGCTATCCATCACGCCGTTCTAAAGATGCCGATGAAGTGATCCGGAGGTTCGAGAGTGGAAGCGTCCACACACAATCTCCACAACATTGGTGGGAGCTCGCACGGCGGGCTTACGCCAGCACAGGAAGATACAATACTTAGACAGGTGGAAGATACTCCCAGGTTGAGAGCACGCGCACTAGCCAGGGAGCCAAATTGTGAGTAGCAGTACTGTGTCCAGGCTATTGCGGTCAGAAGGGCTACACCACTTTCGTTACACAACCGTGCAAGGTCTACAATCTAACTGGTCTTCTGTGACCTTCATGACTTTTGTGAATTGCTATTGCAACAACATGAAGCCGATAATGCTTTTATTACACATAACCTTGTGGACTGATGAAGCATGCTTCACATGTAATGGGGGGTCTTGCACCACTCGCAACAGCCATATGTGATCAGAGTCCAATTCTCATACAATCCGCCAGCAGAGACATCAGATCTGCTGGTCTGTAAATATATGGGTCGGCATACTAGGCAATCCCCTGACTAGATCATATCTGCTTCCTAAAAGGGACACTCATACGGGACACTCATACTTGGTATTTCTCCGTGATGTATTAACCAATTTCCTAGATGACATACCGTTAGCGGCAATACATGGCCGATGGTTCCAGTATAACAGAGCTTCTGAGCTCCTGTACTTGATTGGCTGGATATGGATTACTCAGACCACTGGATTGAATGTGAGGGTCCGGTTTTATGGTCACCATAATCGCCAAGTCTGACACCCTGGATTTCATCCTATGGAGCCATCTGAAAGGACTGTCATATCGAGAGCTAGTTACTACGGAAAGTGATTTAGTTGCTCGTCATCTTGTTCCATGTAGTTTGGTGGTCACCACGCTGCTGCAACGAGTGCAAGTCAGCCATTGCACGGCGCGCGCATGCATGCCTCAACATGCACGATGGATATTTTTAATATCTTTCAAAGTAAATATATGGAAATACCGACGTTCATGTTTCCAATAATTTTTTCCCCCTTGCACCGGTTATGACGCTTTACTTTCCTTTCATATTTAACTCGAAAACTATGAGTTGTATACAGTTCTTTGGGTACTTTTTATGCATTCCAAGCGGGAATCTGGCTGTGTAGAGAGTGAGTGGTCTGGATGGGACACCTTGTATACATTTCGAGACTTCGCGATAAGAGTAAACGAACATCAAAAGAAATTAAATAATATTAAATAAAGATTAAACGAAGTTGGATCAATTATTTTATTGTTTTATGTTACAACATAACTCAAACTTGCAATTAAGGTTAGCAAAATAGAGCAACTCGTGATATTAATTATAAACTTCACTGTACTTAATGTTTCAGATAAAAACATTGTTGAACATTGATAAACAATAATGTATATATAATACAATACTTTAAACTAGATGTAAACTTCGGAGCAGAAACTCGCCTCTGGTTTAACTATAAGGTAATAATAAATTGCGACACGATCAAGGCAAAACAATGAATACTTTTCTTACAGATAAAGGAAAAAAATCGTCCGTGCTTTCATGTTGCGGGAGAAAAGGCGAAAAATGAGAATCCCTTTCGCCTTGATCAGCTCACGGCACACGCATACGCCATTTAACTTCCTTGTACGAAGTAAAAACGAAGTATTCTAATCGGAAAAAATTTCGGGTGTCATATTTCAACGAAAATATCCATTTTGACCGCTATCGAATGCAATTTAACGATGTTTTTGCGAGACATTTGTACGTAAGGACTGAATAAAAGACTCTTTACCTCCAAAAAATTATAAAACTGCTTTAAATGAATTCTCAAGAGAATTTTTCGTGGTGTCTGTACGTACGTATGTATCTCGCATAACTCAAAAACGAGTAGCCTCAGAACGTTGAAATTTTGTATATAGGACTGCTATAACATGTAGATGTGCATCTCGTATTTTGGTTGCAATCGGCCGCACCAAAGTTATATAAATATATTTATATATATAATATCCACTCTGTTACCCGGCTCAGTGATCTCAGTTTCTTTACTTTTATATGTTTGTAAATTGTGTATTTTTTGCTTTAAAAACGATTGAATTATGTTGTTATGATCTTCCTTTTAAGGTTTTTATTCCTTTAGTTAACCTGCATGCAATAATTGTGCAATTATCGACAATTTAAAAGTTTTTTTAAGTGAGGCAAAGCTTAATTTTGTTTAGCATAGCAGCCATTTTTGTTTACATTCGAAACTTGGCAAAATAGTGGATTTTTTGCCAATCTAGAGAAACTAAGCTTCGCAACAACAAAGTAATGTTTTCTTTTATTATTGCGAATTAAATTATGCTTAATTTATTCTGGAATTATCATTTAAGTTATTAGCTTGTTTCTGCGTAGAAACTGTAATTTTAATTGTAAAAATTGTTTTTTAATTGTTTTAACTATACTTGGTGTTTTATTTTTCCTATATCTTTCAATTTTTAATGAAAATATTTTGAATTTTTATGTCTTTTTGCCTGGCCGCGAAATGAGAACTGAATTAATTAGTACCGCATGCGCCTAGGTAAGCGGCGCTGAATCGTCTGCGAAAAACTGTTTCTTTTTTATCTGTTTAATTTCTTTTATACATCGTTTTAGATTTATTATAGTATTTGAATAGAACATGTGGTAATTCTTCAGATCATATGATTTGCCTGCACTTTGAATTATGAATGAGATGTAACGGTGTTAAGTAAACCTAGCGCCGAATTGTCGTTCGTTAACTGTTAATTCAATGTGATTAAATGAAATACAGGGAAATTGCGTATAATTTAATATTCCGTATAAGGAAATTATGTGGCGTATGCATCAGATTTTTTAATATAAGATTACCCGTGGATTTACTGGCTATATCCCAACTATCAAAATAATTTAATTCTTAAGATTTAAACACGGAACTTGAAAATAATTAAACTTTCACCTATTTATATTAAGTTTATTTTTCTAATTCAGTTTGACGAGATCTTCCTGTGTTTTAAAGTTTCTTGAATTTTCCTTGTAGGTTATCATATCAAGACGCATGAAACTCGTATATCAAGTGGAAGTAATACACAGAAACTGCAAAAGAAGATCCAGCCGACTTCAACAAGCTGCTACTAAATTTGAGAAGAAAGAAAATGTAGAGATCTACATGAACCCGAAATTTTGGTAACCACATATATTTATACAAAGTGAATATAGTACTGACACAACCAATGTACTGTTCAACATCTGAAAGTACCACATATGATTTATATTATCCACATATATTTTATGTTTCTCAAATATCACCTTCCTTTGAAAACTATTGTTATAATCTCTCAAAATAAAAGCAAATTATTTTAATACATTTACCTATTTTATAGACTGTATTCATAAACTATTAGCTATACAAAAATGAATAAAACAAAAGCAAAATTTTAATTTAAAAGTTACAAAGAAACAATAAAACATTTGGTGAAATAAAATGAAATGAATTACTACTTTTGAAAATTCAACATTTGGGTTGAGAAAAAAGCTTTTAAGGCGAACGTGATTTTTTTTTTTTTTTAATTTATTTACAAACAGTGAAATAATTTGGTAAAGTTCTTACACTAGATGTTTTCTGAAAAATTTTAATAATTATTCACTCGCACACACACATGCACAAATAAATAAATAAATAAATAAATAAATAAAATACAAAAATTTTAAAATCATAAACGCGAATTAAGAGTAAGATTTCACTTCTTCAGTTAATCCCATATACGAGGGCTATCCAGAAAGTAGATTACGTTTTGGAATAAAAAAATAAACAAAGTATAGGAAACAAATTTTATTATATATAGATGAAAGCCACACTCAAATACTACTTTTCTACATAGTCACCATACAAATTAAGGCATTTATCGTAGCGATGTACGAGCTTGGAAATTCCTTCGTCGAAAAATTCGGCCGCCTGCGCCTTCAACCACTTCGTTACCTCTTCTTGCAGCTGTGCGTCGTCATCAAAACGCTGCATAGCCAGCCACTTCTTCATTGCTGGGAATAGGTGGAAGTCGCTCGGTGCCAGGTCGGGACTGTACGGCGGAGATGAGGAAACAACTCCCACTTAAAAGATTCAAGAACTTTACGAGTGACATTTGCCGTGTGGGGCCGGGCGTTGTCGTGAATCAACAAGATCTTAGAGCTCAACATTCCTCTGCGCTGTTTTGAATTGCTCTTCTGAGTTTTGAGAGTTTGGCAATACCTTGAGAGTTTATTGTAGTGCCTCTTTCCAGGAAGTCACCAAAATTACACCTTTTCTGTCCCAAAAACAGTCGCCATCATCTTCCTGCCGACATTGTTTGCATGCATTTCTTGGGTTTTTGGGGAGAACTTGTGTGCCCCCACTGCATTGATTGCAATTTCGTTTCACAGTTCACATGTTTCACCATGTTTCGTCACCAGTAACGATGCGATCGAGTAAAGAGTCACCATCCTTATGGTAAGCGTCCAAAAAGTTCAACGCTGCAGCCATTCGCTGATTTTTGTGGTCCTCTGTCAAGATTTTTGGAATCCATCTTGCACAAAACTTGTGGTAACCAAGCTTTTCGCTGATGATTTCGTGCAACAAACTTCGCGAAATTTGTGGAAAAACTCAAAGAAAGTTCCGTTATTGTGAAATTTCGATTTTCACGGACTTTAGCATCGACTTTTTCGAGAAGTTCGGCGGTCACTATGCTGGGTCTCCCACTTCGATCTTCGTCGTGAACATTGGTTCGGCCATTTTGAAATCTTATGACCCCATGACGCACTCCACCTCAGTGATAATGTTGTCCCCATACACTTCACGAAGCTGCCGATAGATTTCTATCGGTTTACAGTTTTTTGCAGTCAGAAACCTTATTACTGAGCGCACCTCGCAGCTCGCGGGATTTTCAATTAACGCAGACATTTCAAACCGTCACAGTTTCTGAACGGAGCACAGCACGAACCTCTCACTAGCACGGCTAGATGCAGACTGAGCTGCGCAACGCTCTGACCCCAAGATGGCCGCGCTAGCCCCGCCCCTAGCGGACACAGACGGAAACGTAATCTATTTCCTGGATGGCCCTCGTATTTAATGTAAAATTCAATTGAAAGTGTAAAGCTATGCCTGACTTCCTTATGCTGTTATACTTCAAGGATAAACACAGTAAATCATTTGAAGCAGAATTTATGAAGTCAGCAATGCACCTGATGCACAAATATATATGCAGTGTAATTAAGTCAATAATATGGCATAATTTTAAAGAGCAAATTATTATTCTAAAACTAACATTTAATTTCGAAGTTTCAGACTACCTGAGATATCATTTTCGCTTTTAAAATCTTCTTCATTTAGAAATAGAGCACTTCTCAATCTGAATGCACAAATATATATGCAGTGTAATTAAGTCAATAATATGGCATAATTTTAAAGAGCAAATTATTATTCTAAAACTAACATTTAATTTCGAAGTTTCAGACTACCTGAGATATCATTTTCGCTTTTAAAATCTTCTGCATTTAGAAATAGAGCACCTCTCAATCTGAATGCAGGTCTTCAGTATCTTCAAGCCTAGTGTGAATATATATGATTCGCTACTCTTTTACTGTTAAAAAATCGCTGGTAGGTGTCCGGTAATGAGAAAACTTGAATATTTTTTTCTACATAATTTAAAAATTTGTTAAGAAATGCTGACGTTATTAAAATGTTCTGAGATTTAGCCCTGAGTATTTAAATTTTCGTATCACAAAGCCTCAGTATATTAAAAATCGTTATAATGTAACTCAAATAATTCCTTATACCAAAGTATTCGCGAATTAAAAGATCGGTTACTCTAGCTCAGTGGTTAATTTTTTAGAGATTCAGTGGACTGAAAAGCAGCAGCCAGAGAGAAGATACCAAGAGGAAATGCATCTAAAGTGTTATAATAGCGTAAGCAGAATGAAATTCGAAGTATTTTTGGCGGCCGAGCGGTAAAGTCGCTGAACACTGGTAGTTCGGTCCGAATCCCGCGAACGGGCTGGCTGCATGGGTGTTTTCGTGGTTTTTCCCATGTGTAACGTGTATACGAGCCAGTTTCCCTTAGAAAGTCCTCCACGAAGGCATCCCTCCCCTTAGGCAGATAGCCCTAGTGTGCTTTGCCATAATTAAATACACCACCGAAGTATTTTTGCATAGCTCAACTTGAAAATGTACCTTACAGTTCTGCTAAATTAATACTCAGTGAAACGTTTATAGTATTTGAATTTCATATGTAAAAAGTATAACCCAGTGGAAATAACATTTCGTCTATAGATTTAGTAATATTTTTCTATCTAATTTGATTCTTCTAAAGTAAAAACCACTCTTATGTTTACACAAATTTCTATAAACATACCTTGCCAGCTAAATGAACTGGAAGAATAGATATAACAAATACATTTCACTAGCTACGAACTAACTATATAAACAGCTAAAACTACTGTAAGTCATCCAGCTGAATGTCGAAACGTAGAATTCGAAGTTAAAATTAACATTTTCGATTTAACAGTTACCCCCTCCCTTCTCCACGCAAAAACACACACACCGTACCTTCACTTTCGCCTTACTTATCAAAGTTCTATTCTGTAATTTTTATTTTAATGTTTGTGAAGATACACACCCAACACTTCCGAGTGACTAAAGCCGCGAAATAGTTCTAGCATTCACACAGAGTTCTATTCTTGGTCGTAAAATGTGTTGACGGTAAGCACTTTTTGAAGTTTTCCCGTATAACAGAAAATGCGAATTTAGGCCACTTTTAGAGAATGTTCAATGAAAGTACTTTTTAACAGATTAATTAGTTTAATAATTATAATTAACAGCGCTTAATAACAATAACGTCCACTAATTAATTATTAATAATAACTGTCAAATGAAATAGTACAGCGAATTAAATTCTATTGTAATTATGAAATAAATTTAAAATTAAAACGGAAATATGCACTCATCTCTACCTGATTTATCGTCATACCATTTTATGAGAAATAATTTATTTTGAATGTATTTGCGCTTTAAAATCCCTAATCATCAGCATAAAACAATTACAACTGAATTTTTAACATTTATTTAAAAATCAGTTCTCCAGTGTGAATTTCATTTGCAACAAAACTAAGAAAGATTGGTTACACTTGAAAATTTTTTGAGTTAAAATGTTTAAAGAAGCCCTCCCCCCCAAAAAAAGTTGACATATTTTGTGTGTAGTTTTCTGCTTTTGCATGTTATGTATAAATTTTAAGAGAATTAACTTCAGAAGCTAACAGCGAAGAAACAAATATCAAGCTATAAAAAATAAGACTCAAACCTTCTAGAAATATTAGTTTGCAAGCCTACACTTCATTTAAATATGGCATTAATTCAAAATTTATAATTCTTATCTTAACTCATTTTCTATGCAAGCTGCGTTTTAGTTTTCTCATAACCGGTCTCACTACATATCATTACACTACTTCTACTTCATCTATCTGCAGTTGAAAGAAATGTAACTAAAAAAATCTAAGCTGAATATTTTGACGGAAATACGCATTATCACAACGTGGTATTTGATCATAGCTGTGATGCTGCTTTTCTGACTATGCGTATGCTGCGTTTTAAAACGGACAGTATCGTTCTGTTACCATATCGAGTCTGTTCAATGTTGTTAATAACAATCCAAGTTTTTGCCCCTTTTTGCAATAAGTTAAAAAGAAGTATATCTTTTATGTTTAAATTCAAAAACAAAAATGAGTAACAAAGGAGAAAGCAGATGTTGACAATATTTAGGATACTTAAACACTGCGTATTTTTTGTTCCTTGCGTTTGCTAGTTGCAGCATCTTATGGCTACGCACTGAAAATACCAAAGGGGTGAAAGGTGACTAACGATAGTCTATTTAATTACGTACTCTCACGCCCCCAAGATAAAATTGTTTAAGTCAAGTAGAGATAAAACAAAATGAGTTTATCAACACTATAACACTCATTTTTTTTGTTGTTGCTCATTCGCACACCAATGTTTGTGGGGTATGGTAAGTTCATCTGAAAAATAAATATCTTTTTCAGATACGAGCATTAAGATTCCCTTTACATGAACATAAAAGCTTTTCTGAGGGTTCTGCGAAATTTCCTTTTAAGCTCATCATATATATATATATTTTTTCTTCTCCACGCGATTATGCAGTCTCTTGTCCTGTTTCGATCAGATAAAATTATGGTTAGCATAGGCAATCATTATAACCCCGTTTACGGAACATATCTGAATGCCAAAAATTTGAAATTAGTGAAATGAAAACTGGCTATTTCATGAAAGGATTAAAAAATGCTTCCAGGAATTGCAATTAAAGTTT